GTGGCGCTGGGCAGCACCATTCACCATAGTTCTGTCACACGGCATAAAGACACTCTGCAAAGACTTCTAGAACTGCCTCAGAAAGTGGCAAGAGCAGTGGATGAGAGGATTTGTAGAAGAGTGTTTTGAGGGGAATTAATAACAATGTGCCTTATAGTATAATAACTTTTTTTAAAAGACAGGATCTTGCTATGTAGCTCAGACTGGCCTCAAACTCACTGTGTAACCCAGGCTGGCCTTGAACTTATAACGGTCCTCCTACCTCAGCCTTCTGAGTACTGGTATTACAGGCTGTGCACCACCGTATCTGACTTGTTGTAATAACTTTTTTTGAATGTACACACACACCATATTTTTAAAATCACCCTTTAATATTAAGATTTATGTGCCCCTTGGGATGAGTGTCTCTTTTACCTTCCTTCCAGGGTCTTACTGTCCAGCCTTTGTGTGAGGCTTTATCCCAGGTACCACTTGTGTTTGTGGAGCCCGGCCCTCTGCCTGGGAACTGGGGTTAGCATTTCAGGCTGATTTCTTCTTTTCTCTGTGTTCTCCATGATTTTTAGCTTTCCTATCAGTTCTTTCCTGATGCCCAGGAGTTTTTCTCTTTGTTAAGTAGTTATTTTCCAAATGTCTTGTGACTCTAGCTCAGGGAGAAGCTGTCATTTGCTGCCAGCTTCTATTCTGCCATCCTAGCTTTCTCTCAGAAGGCATAGTTTTATTTTTTTTTAATTTTTATTTTTTATTTTAAAGAGTAAAAGAAGGATAACATAGTAATAGGGGGAAAAGGCATACTTTTAAAAAGATTATTTTCTAGAGGTAATTTTCTTTAATAACATATATTGATTCCCTTCCCTACTAGCTTGACTTCCAACAACTTCAGTTTAAGGTTTGTTACTCTTCTCTCAACTTTCTTTTCATTGGCATTCTCATCTTTATTTTATTGAAGTATTTACTATATGAAGAATAATCTATAAAAGATTATTTGGTCAGAATCCAATCCAATTTTATTAATACAAAAATTTCAAAATGTGTGGGTTTTTTTTTTTAGTAGTACTGAGCATCCAACCCAAGGCCTTGAACATGCTAGGCAAGCACTCTACCACTGAGTTGTACTCTTAGCCCCTTTTATTATTTTATTTTGAGACAAGGTCTCCCTAAGTAACCCAGCTTTGCCTTGAACTTGCAGCTCTCCTGCCTCAGCCTCCTGGGTAGGTGGGATTATAGGCATGTGCCACTGCACCCAGCTCAAAATGTGTTTTAAAGTAACAATTGTCAGAATACAGATTTCCCTCATTCTGGATGAATAACACTTCATGGTCTTCCAATGCTATTGCTAATGTGTTAACATACGATCTGAATGTTTTACTGTGATCCCTCTTCAATTTGTTTTGTAGCGTCTCAGTGCCAAGGGCTCTATGCTTGAAGAACTTCTGGCCAGAACTAAAGATGCTTTACAAATGGATATTCAAAACGTTTCAGGCCCAGAGTCTCTCCAGCATGTCCTCGTCGTTGGCCTTCAAGCGAAGATTCAAGAAGCTAATGAGAAAATCCAGGTCCTTCTTTGATGCTGTTTTTTAGTGAATTTATTCCTTAAAATGGAGTGGTTAGTGGGTGGGGAAGACGATGGATGGTCCTGAAGCTTGGAAATGTTTTTTAAAGTATTTTTTTTTCTTCTTTTGTTTTTAAATAATTTCGAGCATATTGAATATAGAAGTGTAATAAATTAAATATGCTTATGTCTACTGGGAAAATGTAAATCACCACTGGAAGAAAACATTTGTTAGCTGATGAATTTACTAATGAGTTGGGCCAATTTTGAGCTTTGTTTTTTGCCTTTACAGAACACCATGGTAAAACTTGTTGCAGCATTGAAGAGCTCCACTGATGCGGTGCCGGAGTCCGACCTCAAGCGGAAGGTGCAAGAGTCACAGAGGGAGCTTGAGTTGTGCATGAGGAGAGCTGAACAGTTACTCAGACAGAGAGAGAGCCACGGTGAGCTCGTCTCGAAGTACAAGGTAGGAGCCCTTTCACTGTCCCTGCGGGGATCTTCTCTGAAATCGAGATGCTTCCTTCCCTGTAATTATATACAGCGAGGGCAGGGGATAGAGCTCAGCGGCACAAGCGCCTGCCTGGCAAGTGCAAGGTCCTGAGTTTGATTCCCACTACCAAAAAAAAAAAAAAAATCTATATGTATATCGTGAAAGTGTAACTGGAAAAAAATTTTTTCCTTACTTTATACATCGTTCCCCCACAGCTATTAAAAATGAATCGTTAAGCAAAGCGTATTTTAATTCCAGTTTTATCACGGAGCTGAAGTATACTCAGTGATTGAGTGTAAAAGCACGACTGACTTTGGCACTTGAGGAAAACTTTAATATTTCTGGCTCTTTTATTTGTAAAATCGGTCTAATAATTCCAGCACTGTCCAGCTGCCAGATTTGCTGTGAAGCTTTACATGAAAATAAGGTTTGTGAAGGCACCTTGGACAGCTGAAATCCTCTGATGGTATAAAGATACTATTACTATTAAAATGCTTGATAAAGTGTTCGTGAGTATATGCTTATCTGTAAGTTAAAAACTTGAAGTGTTGTTTTGTCTAGAGATAGTTTTCCAGTTGGTTTTTTCCCAGGTTTCACAGAGAAGAGCTATTGTACGTGCACTATTTTTAACACAATGGGAAGTCCCTCAGAGATTTGAAGCAAAGGGAAAATAGGATCTCTAGCCTAGAGCGCTGGGGAGGTGACTGAATACATGGTCCTTTGTTCATCCACCTGTTCAGCGTTGGACACAGTTATCACGTACTTAAAAGAGCGAGGCATTTGGGGCAGGTCAGGTGCAGCAGGCCAGTACCCCCGGTCCTACCGCTCCCACTGTGGTCGGAAAAGGTGCTCCCGCAGGAGCGTGTCTGCATTCTCTCCAGGGCCTCTGTCTACATCTCCTCTGGGCCTCAACCCTAGTTTGGCTTCCAAGATTATTTACCACACCAGGTCCATTTTGCCAGCCACCAGCTGTCTTTTTCTCCTGCCTTTACTCCAGGTTAGGAAGGAAGAAAGGATTGACTTTCAGAATCCATAGTGTTTTAAATAATCATCAGGCTAGATTTCACAAGGGGAGTTTTCATCTGCCAAGCAAAGAGAAACAAAAAATTTAGAGGTTCCTAGGCCCTTTCTGTACCAGAAAGGACAGCTCACAGTGTTGGACCGTGTTTCTCTCCCTGACCATCTGTCTGTCTTTTGAGATTTGAGGCCAGAGACCCTTCCTCTTTGCCTCTGGCCTTTGGCGAAGTAGATACGCTTTCCAGTGGAAGCAAGGTCCACGCTCTGGCTGGTCACACCAGCAGGGAGAGTTCCGGCTCTGTACTGTGGTTGAGGTCTTTCCCGGGTCATAAATCTAGCAGTTAGCACAGAAGCCTTGGAGAAGGGTGCTGGCGCGCAGCACCGTGTGTCTCTGCAGTGGGCTAGTGCATGCAGGGAGTGCATGAATGAATTCTCACCCTGCCTGATTACCTGCTACTCCAGAATTTCTTCCGTCTTCTCTCTCCTATAGGTTTCCTGTTCTTTCCACAGGTCTCAAACTATTTTTTGTTCTGGTCTAGCCAGATTTTTGCTCTCACAGAGTCTGCCTGGTAAGGAGCAGACACATTCCTGGCAAGGCTGTCCGCACCCCTGTCCCCTGCGGCTCCTTCCTTGGGGCAGGACTGCCTATGTGTTGGCCTTGGGCAAAACTTTGAATTGATGATAAGGTAATGTGGGCTCCTTACAGCATAGCAGTGATTATGCATGATATTGAATATTTGCTATAAATCCCACTGTAAACCTTCCTATTGCAGTGCTAATCTCTAATACACACAGATGTACTCTCCGTATTGTTTCTTACAAAGTAAGCTTGTCTACCTGATACATAAAAACTGAAGAGGTTTTTAGACAGTTGCCATTGTCTCTTAGTTTAATAAGCCTTTTAGTTATTTATCAGAAAGCAGCAGGAATTATTGTGACTATCATGAAGATATCAAGTAGATAACTATATTTGAATAATAAAGAGTTTGTGATTCTGCTCAAAAGAATTAAAGAGACACAAAAGGGATATCAGCCTTGGTTTACAAAGAGATGTCTCCTGTGCCTCTTGCAGTAGCCCGCAGAGTCCCTTCTAATTTTACCTCCTGTCACAGAACTGCCAAGGCGGTTTTGAGGATTTGACAGTATAATGAAGTCTCTGTGTTCTTGTTTGCTTTTTTTTTTTTTTTTTTTTTTTTCTAGGAAGCACTAAAAATTTCTAATGCAAATAGTCTGGTCAGGTATTTGAAAGCCATCAAAGAACTGAAGCCCAATGTCCCCGAGGATGCAAAGCTGTCTCTGGAAGAGAAGAGTAGAGATGCCTGTGCCAAGTGGGAGGTAGGACACGCGTGGGCTTCTGGCTGTGATCCCAGAGTGTTCGGCATCAGAGTGGATCCTGGGCTCCCCGTGTACTCTTCGTCACGGGGCGGGGGTGATGCCAGCGGGCCGGCCCCAGGTCTGTGCTGTTTGGCCCGTGTCTGCCTTCAGCCAGTGACAGCACTGTTAGGAGTAGACAGCAGTCGGAAGGGAGGAGGGGAAGCCTGAGGGTTTCTTCTCCTTCCCTTTGGCACTTTCTCTGGCAGGAGCTCTCTCTGGATTCCAGAGCCCCAGCTTCTGACCTGTGTCTTTTCTTTGGGGGCTCCACGCAAGCGTCCACTGCAGGGGTGGGAGCGGCTTTCCTTGTGCTCATCCCTTGGTGCCTCTGTTCTCTGACTGACTTCTCCGAGCTTTTATCTCTGGTGTAATAATTCCCTGCATTTGGCCAGACACGGTGGTGCACGTCTGGGATCCCAGCACTCAGGAGGCTGAGGCAGAAGGATCATTGAGAGTTCAAGGCCAGCCTGGGCTACATAGTGAGACCCTGTCTCCAAAAATAAATAATAATAATAATTCCCTGCATTTAGCATTCTCAGAATGAAATATTTTAAGAGTGTTTTCTGTTGTCCTGGTTGGATGCTGATGGAGACAATATATTGACACATGTACACATACAGAATTTCATAGTGAAATAGGTGTGGCCTTTGCTGGCAGACAAACCTGGATTCAGAAGCTATGACCCTGGATGAGTTACTTAACTTTTAAGAACAGTGATAAAATGGGAATAATATGCTGGGCATGGTGGCGCACGCCTGTAATCCCAGCACTTGGGAGGCTGAGGCAGGAGGATCGGTGCGAGTTTGAGACCAGCCTAGGCTACAAAGTGAGCTCAAGGCCAGCCTGAACTGCATAGTGAGATCCTGTCTCAAAAAGACCAAAAAAAAAAAAAAAAAAAAAAAAAGGGAAATAACACAACTTACTTGGCAGGATTGCTACAAAGATTTATATAAAGCATATGTTACAGAGATTATTTTCAATAAGTAGTAGTTAATATTACAAATATATATATTACATATATATGTATATGTGCACGTACATACATCTGTAGTCAGCCCTCCATATCTGTGGGTTGTGCATCTGTGGATCAGCCAACTGCAGATCAAACGTATTTGAGAAAAAAACTCATCTTAATGGAACATGTGTGGTCTTTTTATGATTCCATAAATAATGCAGTATAACACCTATTTACATAGTGTTTACATTATGTTAGGTATTATAAGTACTGCAGAGATGATACAAAATATACAGGAGGGTGTTTGCAGCTCATATGGCAAATGCCATTTTGTATAAGGACCCGAGTATCCTCACATTTGTATTTATGGGTCCTGGGGGAGGGAGGTTCCTGAACTAATCTCCCAGAGATAACTATACATGCATAGGTGTAATTGGATTGAATAACTACTGTTACAGGATCTCCTAAAACATGTCACAAAATAAAATTATAAATTTTCTTAAATTAAAATTT